AGTCCTTGGTGTACAAGATCCTCCATGATTTGGTTCCTGTCTCCCTCCCATTTCTTTCCATTCCTTACTATACTTTCTATACTCTAACTCAAGTAGTTCTAGTTTCCAAAAGAAGACTTGTTACTCCACACTTCCTGCCTCTGCCTATAGTGTACCTTCCCACGTTTTCCAACAGATGTTTATCCTCAATACTTACTTCAAATGTTTCCTCCTCACTGTTAGGTTGACTGAATTAATGCCCCTATTCTTCACCCCTTCATGGATCCCTGCCCACTGCCATGTAAAGCTTCAATGCCCTTCCACTCTGACTCAGTATCAGCAAAACTCTCTAGTCTTCAACATGTGAGCCACACCAGCTGAGCCCAGCCCAGATCAGCCGAACCCACAGTCACTTTGTATACTACTGATGTTCTGTTGGTATTATGCAGTATTACTGTAGCAACAGACAACTCATGTTTTCTATAAAGACTTGCCTGACCCTCCCAAGGAAAAATGATCCCTCTGCATTTTTGCAACCTCTGAAACTTATACCTTTATTACAAAATGTAACACATTCTACTATTATAAACATTTAATGAATGAATAAGTAGTATGATTATTTATTTTTATGTTTAGTTCTCCTTCTAAGACTGACCTTCTTGAGAACAGGAACATCTTTGTGAAGGAGTCTGTATAGTCAAAATAGTTTGGGCATACCTGTTAGTACAGCCACTATGGAAAACAGTATGGTGCTTCCTTGAAAACTTAAAAATTGAACTGCCATATGATACAGAAATCCTATACCTTGGTATACGCCTGAAGGAAACAAAAATAGGATCTCAAAGAAATACCTGCGCTCCCACGTTCACTGTGGCATTAGTCACAATAGCCAAGATATGGATGGACACCTAAGTGTCCACAGATGAATGGGTATAGAAGATATGAGATACATACATATATATAAAATCCATATATTATATATATAAATGTGTAAATGTGATAGATGTTATAGATATATGAATGTAATATTATAAATGTGAGATACACACACACACACACACACACATATATATATATATATATATATGCACACATTTATATATGGAATATCATTCAACCTTGAAAAAGAAGGCCATCTTGCCATCTGCAAAGACATGGATGAACCCTGAAGGCATTATGCTAAGTAAGATAAGTCAGACAGAGAAAGACAAATACTACATGATATCACTTATATGTGGAATCTTAAAAAAAACAGAACTTGTAAAAGCAGTAAATAGAATGGTGGTTACCAAGGGCTGGGGAATGGAAAAATTGGAGATGTTGTTTAAAAGTACAAACTTGCAACCTGTAGATAAATAAGTTCTGGAGATTCAATGTACAACATAGGGATTACAGTAAAAAAATAATGCTATATTATAAACTCAGAGCTGTTGAGAGACTAGATTTTTAACTGTTTGCAGCACAAAAAAGAATTATGCAAGGTGATAAAGGTGTTAGCTAATACTACTGTAGTAATAATATTGTAATATATGTGTCTTGAATCAATACACTGTGCACCTCAAACTTATACAATGTTATATATCAATTATATCTCAGTTAAAAAAATAGTTTGGGCACACCTGGGTTGGAATCATGCCTCTGCAAGTGACAAACTTTCTGAGGCCAACTCTCTTTAGCTGTAAAATGAGGACAGGGGCAGCAACTTCGCAACATTCTTGAGAAGAGGAAGTGAGAACATCTGTATACAGTAGCCAGCTTGATGCGTGACACATCAGAGGGCTCAACAGATAGTATGTGGCTGAGTGATTAATGTACAGACACTTCATGGCCAAAGTCTTAGACAATGAGTGCACCAAAACCAGAAAGTCCTTTGTCCCATTACCAATTCCTAACATCACACTGGCTGCCCACAGCACTCTGTGGCCTCTAATCCGATTTATTACAACAGAGGCTGATGTTTCAATTTACTGAACCCAACTGTATCATAAGTAAAAGGACCTCAGATGACCATCTTTGCAACTTAACGCCAGCCTGGTTTTTAAATGCAGTTTATTTAATCTCTCATTTAATCTAAAGTTGCAGTTTGGTGCTTATAAATCTGCTCTTCCTGCAACTCTTCTGAGAAATACAGACACCTGGCGTGTGCTTACTGCCTGCTTTTGGGCAGGCTAAGCAGCCTCCTTGATGGGCTACGCTCCTACACAATTGAAAAATGGGTACTCACCTCTCTGGAGGCTGGTCGCCTTCCTCCCCAGCTGCTACAAGAGCAAGAGGCAGGGTGAAAAAGAGGGGTTTCAGTGGCAGCCTGTTTAAGTGAATTGTTTGTGCAATGACCACACCCCGCCACCTCCTCCCCCCACCCCGAGACAAAATGTAGAAGGGCAGCTTACCTGTGCCCCAAGCCGCCCCTCCCCCTGGCATCCGGGGACCGTCGGTCCTGCATGCAGTGTTCACCTACACTTTATGGTGCTTATTTATGAGTGCAATCTCCTGTATTAGACTTTGACCCCCTTGAGACCTGGAGGGGCTTACCTCTTAATCTCTTGTTTCTATCACAGAGCCTGGCAACGAGAGTACAGCTGCTCAGTGTGTGCTTGAGTTAATGATAACAGTGCCCTTATTGAGCATTTACTGGTGTGCCAAGCACTGTTCAAAGTCTCCCCAGGCCTCATCTCATTTCTCCTCACAATCATCGAGTGTTATTATCATCCCCATTTTATAGATAACGACAATGAGGCTCAGCGAGTACCATGCCCAGACTTATACAGCTAGCGAGGGGGGAGCTGGGATGGACAAAACCAAAAACTTAGTCCTATGTTCTCTGTTCTGCGACAACCTTCTTCTCTTTCAGAGAGATGGTTTGAGGCCTGAATTATTTAATGTTTATAAAAGTCATACTGAGCCTTCTTTGATATGGAGGTGGCCATATTATCAAAGTATACTTAGCAGAGCTCGATTTCTCACTATAGGATTTTCTTTTAGGATAAGACTTCAGATGACTTATAGCAGTGGTTCTCAAAGTGTGGTCCCTGGACCAGCAAGGTCAGCATCTCGCCGTGAACTTGTTCAAAAGGTAAATTCTCAGGCCCCAAACCAAGACCAACTGAATCAGAACTCCGGGGTTGGGCCCAGTAAGCTGTGCTTTCACAAGTCCTCTAGCTAACTCTGATGCATGCTGAAGTTTGAGAATCACTGAGTTAAAGAAATTTCACCCAGCGTTTGCCCAAAGCAGTCTAATGAACAGACAACAAACTAAGAATAAATGAACAAAGAATTAGCTTTTTTAGTGTACCATCCACAGGCACTCGCGGCCACAGTAAGACAAATGCTAGCACAGCACTACGCATCACCCCCAAAGTGTATGTTCACCTTGTGTTTCACTAGAGCAAATGTAAGCGAAGGTGTTTCCAGTGTCAACAGGATCAGGCTGCAGTGGGGGGAAAAGGGGAGTGAGAAGGTGGTTCCCTTTACATAGCACAGGAAAACACACAAGAGCACAGAAGGATGGCTGCCAAGGATGCTGCAGGTCCCGGAAAGGACTAATGGGGGCAGGGGTAGGGGCCCTTCAATTCATTCCTGAAGGCAGATCACAGAGGCCCAAGGGACTCCCAGCATGATCCCAGGTCAAGTTCACACTGACTTTCCTCTCTTCACTCCCTCCCCCTCTCCTACTGCACTTGGTTGTGTTGACAACATGGGCTTTGTAGGAAAACAAAGATTCCCTGCCTCCCTCCTCAGCTACTTTTTGTTTTCTTCCTCTTGGACAGATTCCCAGTGATCAAATGCAGTGCTCTCAGGGGAAGCAGGCTGGCCCAGCAGCGATAAGGGGCCAATGCCCACAGATTTGTCATTTCACAGGCAAGCTGCCACAGCCTCTACGTGAGAATAAGCAGTGATGGATGTCCAGCCCCACAGAAAAGCAGTCCGGCACCGTCCCCTGGGAGACGATGCAGAGGGGGAGGTGACGGGGATCCGGCCACGGGAGCCATGACTTCTGTTGGCTGGCTGTGCACGGGGGCCCTGTGCATTTCCTTACCTTCCCTGTGGGTCTTGGGAAGAGCAGCTGCCTGCCTCTGGAAAGCCTGGAGGTTCACGACCGGGGGCCTCAGTGGCTTTGCGGGGGGAGGACCCAGGGACTTGACGGAAGGCAGTGGCTTGGTATTGGGAAGTTGTGGATGACTGACATCTGGCTGGTCCTCTGAGCATAAACAGTCCAAAATGTAGGTTAATATTTCCATTTCATGGCTGGCCTCAGCCTCACTCCCCTCCCATCTATTCTCCACCCAGCAGCCAGAGTGTCCTGATCAAAATGCAAACCTGATCTTTTTTTGTTTTTGCTTTTTAAATTTTTATTGAAGGGACTTCCCTGGTGGTCCAGTGGTGAAGAGTCCACCTTACAATGCAGGGGACGCAGGTTCAATCGCTGGTCGGGGAACTAAGATCCCACACGCTGCGTGGCAGCTAGGCCCACGCGTCAAAACTACTGAGCTTGCGAACCCCAATTAGAGAGCCCGCGTGCCACCAACTACAGAGCCCACACGCCACAACTAGAGAGAGAAAAAGCCTGCACACCACGACTAGAGAGAAGCCCACACACCGCAACGAGGGAGAAGCCCCCGCGCCGCAACAAAGACCTGATACCGCCCCCAAAATAAAGAAAATAAATAATTTTTCTTGTAGTTTAGTAGATTTACAATCGATGTTGTGTTAGTTTCAAGTGTACAGCAAAGTGAATCAGTTATACATACACACATAGTCACTCTTTTTTTTAGATAGGGTTCCCTGTTCAAACCCGATCTTGCCACCATCCAGCTGCCCAGAGGATGAAGCCCAGTTTCCTCAGCTGCCGTCCACTCACTCCATACTCTGTCATTTAAACACCACACAGCCTCAATCTACCTTTCTTCTCTGACCACACTTTACCACCCTCCTTCCCCAACCTTAAGCCCTAACATATTTTACTCACAACCACTGGCTTCTCAGTTTTCCAGATTTGATTTTTTTTTGTAGTTTCTATTTTATTTTAATTTACATTTTAAATTGAACTACAGTTGATTTACAAAGTTGTGTTTGTACAGCAAAATGAGCCAGATAGATATATATACCTGGAACAGCATTCCAGGTTTAACTTTAAAAGCCTTAAATCGTTCTCATATATCCAAGATTTTGTTCATGTCATTCCTCCTGGTTCTGGAATGCTGTTCCCTCACTTCTCCCTTGGCGAACTTTGACTCATTCTTTAAGGCCCTGCTCCAATGACACCTCCTCTAGGAGGCCTTTCTTGATTTCTACCAGAAAACAAGCTCAGAATCAACCACTCTTTGTTCTGTATCCCCTTGCACATTGTTACCACTTCTCCATCAGTGTTGCGGCGTATTAAAAGAGCTGGTCTATCTTCCCACTGAATGTAGGCTCCTTGAGGGCAGGGAGTAGGCCCCAGTGACCTCCCCGCAGCACCAAGCACAGGGCACCAGGCATCAGGGGAAATGGACAATGATTATTCCCTGAAAGGATTCTTCAAGCACTGATGACGGGCAACTAACACGGGAGCCATGAAGAGGAGTAACAATTCGTCAGTGATTTCCGGGGCTCAATGCCTAGAACAGGCTTCAAGGCTGGCTTTGTGGTACGTGGGCACCTGTGGATATTGTGTCCTAGAATTTTCCAGGACAGTCCCAATTTCACGTATTTTGTCTTTCTGCACTGATAAGCCAACCAACAGAAATTTCAACATTATATATAAACATTGTATCTGCCTCGTACACTGAAAATAGCCCCAAATCCTATATTATTCAAGATTCTTTATATTCTCAATATTATTCAAGAATAATATTATTCTTATATTATTCATTATTCAAACCTTGATTTTTTTCGGTTTACATAATACAGTGGTTGACTACATGGCAAAACTAGAGGAGCTGGCTAGTGTTTCACAAGTACCTCAGTGCAACCTCCTCAAAGCCCTGCTATCTTTTGCAGGCGGGAGCGGGGCTTCCTTCTAGCCCTACCAGCAGGCGTTACATAGTCAGGGCCAGAGTTCCATTCTTCTAAGGCTTGAATTATAAGCCGCAATGTCAGAGATTTTAGTCTTTATCAACTTAGGGAGAAGACAGTGAAAGTGAATGATCACTTACTAACTGAGCTCCTAATTTTTACCAGGCACTGTGCTAAGCAGTTTACATAGGTTATCTCACTTAATCCTCCCAACAGCTCTGTCAGGTAGGTTATCTAGCCCTTTCTTTCCTCCCATCTCTCCTTCCTCCCATTCATCCTCTCTTCGTTTCCATCCCTTCATCAATAACTATTTACTATATTCCAAGCCTTGTTCTAGGGGCTGCGGCTAGAGTTAAGAGCAAGAACATACAGAGTTCTGCCCTCAGGAATTTTCATTCTAATAGGAGGAGGCTGATGCTAAACATGCAAACAAATAAACAGATAAGAAAATCAGACGGGCGGTGGGAAGCGGGGGACAAATTAGGAGTTTGGGATTCATATATACACACCAGTATACATAAAATAGATAACCAACAAGGATCTACTGTATAGCACAGGGAACTATACTCAATATTTTGTAATAACCTATAAGGGAAAAGAATCTAAAAAAGAATAGAAACACATATATATGTATAACTGAATCACTCTGCTGTACACCTGAAACTAATACAACATTGTAAATCAACTATACGTCAATAAAACAAAAAAACCCCAAAAAAGAAAACCATAGCAATCTATTAGTTCTATAAAGGAAATAATGACGATATGAAAGAATGTGAACTCTTGGTGGTGAGATAGTGTTCTTTATTTTTATTTATTTATTTTTTTCTTGCGTTATGCGGGCCTCTCACTGTTGTGGCCTCTCCCATTTGCGGAGCACAGGCTCCGGACGCGCAGGCTCAGCGGCCACGGCTCACGGGCCCAGCCGCTCCGCGGCATGTGGGATCCTCCCGAAACGGGGCACGAACCCGCGTCTCCTGCAACGGCAGGTGGACTCTCAAGCACTGCGCCACCAGGGAAGCCCGAGATAGTGGTCTTTAGATGGAGATCTCTGGCTAGAGAAGGCTTATCTGGGAAAGTGTCATTTGAACTTAGATCTAAAGGCAATTATGCAAAGATCAAAGAAAAGAGTTGTCTGGGAAGAGGGAACAGCAATTGCAAAGGTCCTGAGTCATAACAAAGTCTGTTCAAGGAACAGCAAGAGATTCAGGGTGCTATCTGTGGGCTAGTGAACCAGGGAAGAGAGCAGGAGGTAAGTCAGAGACATAAGCAGGGACCAAAAGAAGCAGAGCTATGAAGTCAATAAGTAGTTTAGATGCTATTCTGAGTCCAAAGTAAGATTATAAGCAGGAGATCCATCTATCCATCCATCCATGCATTCAATCATTCAAAAACTACTTTCTTGAGGACCCACTGAAACTAGCCTTGTTCTTCTAGGTTCTGGGGATACAGTGGTAAAGAAGACAGTTTTTATCCTCATTTAACTTATATTTTACTCAGATAAACAAACAAATACATAATAATATACCAGATAGGGATAAGTGATACGAAGAAAACCAAAGCAGTGTAGGAAGATAAAGAATGCTGGTGGTGGGGTGGCTATTTTAGATAGAGCGATCTACAAGGTCCACTCACAGCAGGTGACATTGAGCTGAGACGTTGATGAAGTGAGGGAGTGAGACATCGAAGTCCTAGGGGAAACATGTTCCAGAAGAGGGATCGGCAGGTGCAAAGGTCCTGGGGTAGAAATAGTTTGGTATATCTAAGGAATAGCAAGAAGGCCAATGTGGTGAGAGAGGAGAGGGTAAGAGAGGTAGTCGAGGAGCAAATCACATAAGCCACTGTAATACGGCTGTGGTCGAAATGAGCTGGGGAGTGACATGATTGGATCTATGCTTTAGAGGATCACTGTGCCTGCAAGGAGGAGAATACAATATAAGGGGGCAAGAGTGTGAAAGCAGGTCCAGGCAAGAGATGGTCCACGGTGCTGCAGACATGGGCAGAAGGCAGAAATGGAAGCAAGTAGAGGGGTTCAGAACATAGCTTGATGATGGAACCAAGAGCTTGCTGATGGATTAGTTGCAAAGAATGAGGGGGAGACAGGAATAGAGCACGACTCCTAGATTTCTGGCCTGAGCAACCAAGACATGGTTGCGCTATTTACCAAGACAAGGAGGGTTGGTGATGGATCGATTGATAGGAGAGCAGACCAGGCTTTATGAAGTTAAGCAGATTGTCCAATTTCATGCATCTTGTAAGAAGTAGAGCTAAGATTCAAATCCAAGTTTGCCCCAACTGTGTCTCCGTATAATTCCAGGAGATTGATCACTTTACCCAAACCTGAAATTATAACCTAGCAAATGGGCCTTGAATACCCGTGCTGGAGTTTAAAGCAAACATTGTCCAGCTCACATATGCGACCATCCCAAGCCAGCAAGCTCTAAATTAGAAACACAGTGCCCCTTCCCCCCAGGCCTGTGGGGATTCGATTTCTCACCTGGGGCCTGGCTGGTGAGCTCACCATCATAGACAGGGTGGCTGGTGCTCCCTGCCAGGCTCTTCTCAGGACTGGGGTTTGCTGGGCTCCTCCTGCTATTTTGAGAAAGTCGAACAGTGGGATCTTCGGAGGTGGCACACAATCTTCTTTGGGCCATCAAGAGCCTCTGGGAAGGAAGGGTCTGGGCTCCTATTCGTTCCATATGTTTCCTGGGCTCCTCTGGAGTAAGCCCCATGCTTTTCCGCTCTTGCAGATGGAAGGCCCTGCTTCCACAACTGGCAGGGGTAAAGACTGATGACATCTTACTTTTCTGAGATAAAACCTCCCAGTTCCAGAGCTTGTTTCTGAAGCTGTTGTTCACCATTACTTTCTTCTTATTGGTGATCTCAGCATTTGACTGATTCACATCTAACAGCAGAGAAGCCTTCTGTGAATTTACTGAAGAGCCAGAAGAACCCCCAGGAGGTTCCAGGGAATTAGAACATTTCTGAGTCTCGCTCTTCTGAGCCAACTTCACCTTCTGGGGTTTAAGAGTCTGGGAGTCACCACTGGCACAATTGGGTAGGGGCTCACTGTGGTTGGAAGAGGGGTGTTTCCCACTGGCCAAAGTCTTTGTGGACTGTCTGCTTCCAGTGTCACCCTTTTGAGAAACACCTTCTGGGAATTTAACAGGTCCTGGAAGAGATGGCGCATCAAGCTTTTGAAATTTGGCTCGAAGTTCCTTGAAGTTTCTTAACACTTCCTAGAGCATAAAAGAAAACCGTAATGTCTTGTTACTCTAGGAAGAAAGCCGCATGATTAGCTGACTTCACTGTGCCTACTAAGAGGCTGTAGGTGCTGATGTAATGCCATCACTTATCTATTGAGTAATACCAGCCAGTAATGCTATTGTCCATGTGAGGCAGAGTGAAAACAATTGTGTACTCTCTGAAACACTTCGGGTATGTTTAATTTCTTCACAACATATAAAGCACTCTTGTAAAAGAGACAGTACTAACAATTACTGATAAATCCCTTGATATAAACTTTTGGTGGCTCTCTGCTGCCTATGCAAATGAACCCCTTCGCGTGACATTCAAGAACACTGGCAAAAGTTGTGGAATTATGATCTTAAAGAGGGCAGAATTATGATCTCCAGCCATAGGTCAACATAACCACACTTAAACCAAACAGGATAATTTACAGTTTTCCTAGAAACTTTATACCCACCACCACCCTGACTTCACTCACGTGTTCTTGCTTCCCCCAAGTGCATCCCCCGTATACTTGTCAACTGCTTTCTTCCAACAGTAACGCCCACCTTCTCCATCAACATTCCCCCTGTGGCTGACACGTAGAGCTAACTCCTCCCTGACTCCACATTGCTTCCACAGCTCCTCATAACTTGGCTGTTGAACTTAACACCATAGGGTGGAAAAAAGAGCAATCTCTGGAACTAGACAGGTCTGTGTTCAAATTCAGACTCTGCTCTTTTATCATCTAGAAAAATTCTTTGGGAAACTTGGTATCATCAGTGCAGTCTCATCATAGAAATAACTTGCAAGTGGCAGAAGGATGAGGGGTGCCATATGTAAAGTGTCCATCACAGTGCCTGACACATAGTAAATAAAAGCTACTCATAAGAGACGAGATGATGCTCTTGTATTTTTGACTCCCCTTGGGAGACTGTGTTCCACTTTCTAAATTCAGCTCAAATTCAGTATATGAAAATGGGGGTAGTAATAGCAGCGCAACCCTTTGGGCAGAGGAAGGGACACGCCTGGGATTATACGGTGAGTTGGTGGTCTACTACATAGGTAGGATTAGGCTCGACTCCTGCTCTGCGCTCTTCCCAGTTTCCCCCTTTCTCTCACGAGATTTAATTTACTTTTGTAAGTGCGTTTTGTCATTTTCTGTCTTCAGAGGAGGTTGGAGGGGGAGGAGATAGAGCGTGGGAGGACATCTAATAGAGCCATTTCCAAAGTAAGAGCCACCATCTTCTCTGGATCATCTTAAAGGTCTTAATTTCATGTATACAGACAACCTCCATGCTAGTGACTTCTGATTTTGCCTGCTGAAGGAATGACTGTTGGGTGACGTTTTCTCACTGTGTTTACAGTTGACTCACACTGTAGATTAGTTGACTCACACTGCCCTCTGAAGATTTAGGAAGGGAGAAAAGTTGAACAGGAAATATGAAGCAGGTGTCTCGGAGCTTGCGTGCATGCTCTTCCCTCTTTCCTCCTCTCTCTCTCTCTCTCTCTCTCTCTCTCTCTCTCTCACACACACACACACACACACACACACACACACACACACACACACACACACACACCATACACACATTTATAGCTTTCCTCACAAATTGCCCAGGGTTAATTTTTTACATTTCAACCAGCAGTCAAGTTGATTCCATTGACCTTCCTTTCCCCTGATATGGTAGAAGCCAGGACTGGGCGTGGAACTAGGAGATCTAAGTGTGAGCCTCAGCTTTGCCATTTTCTAGTCACATGTCTTAGACAGTTCACTTTGCTTCTCTGAGCCTTATGTTCCTCACTATAAAATGGGACGATGCTACTAACAGTTCAGGGTTATTGCAAGGGTCACATGAGATGACAGATGTACATACCTCAGTGGTTAATATTTTTTAAATTGTGGTAAAATACACCTAACTTTAAGTGTACCACCATAGCCTTTTTTTTTTTTTTTGTGGTACGCGGGCCTCTCATTGTCGTGGCCTCTCCCGTTACGGAGCACAGGCTCCAGACGCGCAGGCTCAGCGGCCATGGCTCACGGGCCCAGCGGCCCAGCTGCTCCGCGGCATGTGGGATCTTCCCGGACCGGGGCACGAACCGGCGTCCCCTGCGTCGGTAGGCGGACTCTAAACCATTACGCCACCAGGGAAGCCCCACCATGGCCATTTTTAAGCATATAGTATAGCAGTGTTAAGTACACTCATATTGTTGTGAATGTTCAGGACTCTTTCATCTTGCAAAACTGAAGCACTATATTCATTAAACAACAGCTACCCATTCCCCCTCCCTCCAGACCCTGGCAACCATCATTCTACTTTCTGTTATCTACGAACTTAACTACCCCAGGTACCTCATATAAATGGAATCAAAGGTATTTGTCTTGTTGTGACTGACTTATTTCATTTAGCATATTGTCCTTAAGGTTCACCCATGTTATAGCATACTGCAACATTTTCTTCCTTTATAAGGTCAAATAATATTCTATTGCATGTATATAACACATTTTGTTTATCTATTCATTCATCAATGGACATTTGGGTTGCTTCTGCCTTTTAGTTACTGTGAATAATGCTGCTATGAACATAGGTGTCCAAATATCTCTTTGAAACCCTGCTTTCAATTCTTTTGATTATATGCCCAGAAATGTAGTTGCTGGATCATATGGTAAAGCTATTTTTAATTTTTTGAGGAATCACCATACTGTTTTCCACAGTAGCTGCACCATTTTACATTCCTAATTGGCACAAGTTCCAATTTTCCCACATCTTTGCAAGACTTGTTATTTTCTTGTTTTTTTTATAGTAACCATCCTAATAGGTGCAAGGTAATCAGTGGTTAATATTTTTGAAGGAATACAATAATGATAATTTTTAGCTCTTCACTGTATGAAGCCACGTGAACTACAATGTTACTGTGATAAATTTTAGTCTCCATAGGAATGATTAGGAAAAACCCCAGCAGGAAACAGAATTAAGGATTGATAACATTCAAACCAAGGTCCTGGGTAAAGATCGCTGGTTCAGGAGGAACTAAACCTGATTATATCTAACTCATTCCTCTTTCAGCAAATGCTCATTAAGTATTTACTATATGGGCAGAACACTGTTTTAAACAGTCAAGGGCTCTGCTTTTATATATCACATTCTAATGTCAGGGAGAGACAAAAAATAAGCAAATACACCTGAAAATATTAGCGATAAGTTCTATGTGGGGAATTAAATAGATGATTTGATAAAGAGTGACTGGGTACCTATCACTGATTTTCAGAGGTACCATAGGAAAGTCATTCCCTTCTTCTGAGTTCTATCATTTATCTACTCAAGGAATTGCCTGGGTGATCTCCAAGGCCCCTTCTATCACTAACATTTCGGTTTTATTTTTCTTGCTATGGGAAATAAAAGTTACACATACTATCATCTATCATACATCATCCATTGGTGGGAGTTCAGGTTTGAGGGTATGAAGCAAGTTGAATGAGGATGGGTTGGGAGGTGGCCAAGGGGATATTCTGGTTAAAAGCATGCCCCACTTTTCTGGGCCCACAACTAGCCAGTCATCACATCCTGCTTATCTTAATTCTTAAAAGCCCATGAGCCTGCCCCTTCTTCATGTCATTGCCACTGCCTTTGAGTCTTCCTTAGTTTTTGCTTAAAATGACTTCTTTCTGGCCTCCCTGCCTCCACTCTAGGCCCCTCTAATCTACCGTTTACCCAGCTGTTAGACAAATCTGACTGAAAACATGAATCTGATCATGTACATCCCAGTTTAAAATCCTTCAATTTGGCTTCTTCAAAGCTTTCCAATATAGCTTAAACTCTTGCTTAGTACCTAAGGCCCCCCAAATCCCAACTCTGTTAATTTTCTGACATCATATTGGCCCCCTCCCTGACATGCTTTCTTCCTTCTGACTTCACTGAATTACTTACATTTTCCCAAACTTATTTTGCTCTTTCATGTCTCTATACCTTTGAATATGCCATTTTCTCTGCCTGGAATGCCCACCTTTCACCCAATTTCTTGAATTAGAAAATTCCTACTTGTTCAAAATTCAGCTTGTGACACCTCAAAATATTCATTGGTTTCCTATTATGTGCTAGACAATAGGGTTACAAAGATGAATAAGACATTTCCTGAACCCTGATATCAAAGCCAGACAAGGATGCCACAAGAAAAGAAAATTGCAGGTCAATACTGATGAACATAGATGCAAAAGTCCTCAACAAAATATTAGCAAACCAATTTTAACAGTCCATTAAAAGTACCATACACCGTGATCAAAGTGGGATTTATTCCAGAGGTGCAAGGATGGTCAAACATCGGCAAATCCATCAATGTGATATACCACGTTAACAAAAGGAAGACAACAAAACATATTATCTCAATAGATGCAGAAAACGCATTTGACAAAATTCATCATCTATTTATGATAAAAAGGAAAAAAACTCTCAACAAAGTGGGTATAGAGATTACATGCCTCAACATAATAAAGGTCATATATGATAAGCCCACAGTTAACATCAAGCTGAATGATGAAAAACTAAAAGCTTTTCCTCTGAGATCAGGAATAAGATAAGGATGCTCACTCTCACCACTTTTACACAACATAGAACTAGAAGTCCTAGCCAGAGCAATTAGGCAAGAAAAAGAAATAAAAGGGATCCAAATTGGCAAGGAAGAAGTAAAACTATCACTATTTGCAGATGACATGATACTATATATACAAAACCCTAAAAACTTCACCAAAAACTGATGAAATAAAATTTATATTTTAAGGCAGGACAAGAAAAAAAATCAAACATAAAATTCTGTGTGTTTGTTTGGGCCTTCTCCCTCCCTAATATGCAGTGTGTATCTACATTACACATTAACCAAAGCTCCTCAAAGATGGGAGTGTCTGCTCAACCATAAAGATCATTTTTTCTTTCTTCTGACGCAAGCAGTGTAACTTCTTAAAAGAACAGTGTTCTTAGCCAGCTCTGTAGGGGTTCATGGTGACTTGCTGCTTACTTTGTACATG